CCTCAAAATTGCTCCGACCACCACATCACTTGCATCATACATGAGCTCAAAAGGCAAGCTCCAATACGATGTGGTGATAATAGGAGATGTTGTCAATTTGAACTTGAGCAATTCAAATGCCTTCATGCAATCTTTGGTGAAATGGAACTTAGCATCCTTCTCCAAAAGCTTACACAAGGTCTTCACCACATTAGAAAAATCCTTGATGAATCGGCGATAGAACCCCGCATGACCCAAGAAGCTCCTCACTCCCTTCACGGATGTAGGGAGAAGGAGTGTGGAGATCACCTCAATTTTGGCCTTGTCGACATCAATACCATGCTTTGAAAGGCCAAGGACTATGCTTACCTCGACCATGAAGTGACATTTCTCACAATTCAACAACAAATTTGTCTCTTCACATCTTGCCAAGACCTTATCTAAATTATTCAAACAATCCTCAAAAGAATTCCCAACCACGGAAAATCATCCATGAAGACCTCAAGAATATCCTCCACCATGTCGGTGAAAATAGCCATCATGCACCATTGAAAAGTCGTCAGTGCATTGCATAACCCAAAAGGGATCCACGAGAATGTGAAAGTACCATAGAGACAAGTGAAAGTAGTATTTTCTTGATCCTCCGAAGCAATAAGAATTTGATTATAGCTGGAATACCTATCGAGGAAATAATAGAATGCACGACCGGCAAACCTATCAAGCATTTGATCAAGGAAGGGAAGTGGAAAATGATCATTTCTTGTAACTTTGTTGAGCTTGCGATAGACCATACACACTTTCCATCTAGTCACCATTCTTGTAAGAATCAACTCGTTCTTGTCATTGGTAACCACAGTCATGCCCCCTTTCTTTGGGACATATTGCACCAGAGAAGTCCATGAACTATCGGAAATAGGGTAATCAACCCTGGAAACCAATCATGGAAACCAACCACTTGATTATCTACTTCTTGACCACTTATTGCATTGCTTCATTTAGCCTTCTTTGATGTTTAACGGAGGGTTTGGCGCCCTCATCCAAAATAATCTTGTGCATGCAAAATGCGGGGCTTATACCCCGAATATCCGCCATCCAATTGCTCACTTCATCCTTTGTAGCGCCTCCAATGTGGACTCAACCTACATGTTAGTCAAATAAGAAGAAAGATCAACCGGTAAAGTAGAAGAAGGGCCAAGGAATTCATACTAGAGATATGGAGGCCATGGCTTTCACTCTAAAGTAGGAGGTTTCTCGATTGAGGGATTTGTTAGAGGAGTCTTCCGGTTTTCAAGATCCAAAGATAGCTTACGGGGTTCATAATTATATGACCTCATCCCATGCAATGTATTCACACATTCCACATAGCCATAATTCTCCTCCTCATCACCAAGATTGAGAAACACGGCTTCCAAATTATCCTCAACATTAATTGTGGCACTAGCATTATCAATTATCACATCGGTCACCAAATTCACGAATGAACAAACTTCATTGCTATTTGGTTGCCTCATATATTTGCACACATGGAAGACTACCTTTTCACCACCTAACTGGAAAGTGAGCTCACCGGCTTTCACATAAACATGAGCCTTCCCCGTAGCAAGGAAAGGTCTACGTAAAATAATAGGCACCTCATAGTCCACTTTACAATCAAGGATCACAAAGTCTGCTGGGAGGATGAACTTGTCAACACGAACCAATACATCATCACTAATACCTAAAGGTCTATTCATTGTACGATCCGCCATTTGTAACATCATAGATGTGGGTCTTGGTTGCTTAATTCCCAAAGATTTGAACACCGATTAGGTCATCAAGTTGATACTCGCCCCAAGATCACATAATGCTTTGGCAAAGTTGGCACTTCCAATTGTACATGGGATTGTGAAAGCACTTGGATCTTCCAATTTAGGAGCCATTGAGTGCACAATTTCACTCACTCGATGTGTCATCTTTATTGTTTCACAATTCATCGATCTCTTCTTGGCTACCATATCCTTCATGAACTTTGCATATCTAGGCATTTGTTCCAATGCTTCAACTAACAGCACATTAATAAACAAACTCTTCATCATATCAATAAACATTTTGAATTAGTTCTCACTATTTTGCTTGTCAAGCATTTGAGGATATGGAGGAGGGGGCTTTGGCATTGGTGCCTTAGCCTTTGGCACTACCGGCTCCAGCATGTCAATTTTGTATTCCCTAGACCGATTCATTTCTTCTTCTATCTCCTCCACATTTTCATTAATATCAATTCTCACTTCTTCATTAGATGGAACCACATTGCTTGTAATTTCATCTTCTTGAACCAGTACATCATCGTCCACAATTCTTCTTTGATTTGAGGTGGTTGCATCTCCACCTTTTTCACTTCATATTGTCACGGCCATAGCATGTCCCTTATTATTCCTATTACCACTGTATCACCTGGTAGTGCCCCCATAGGACGAGTGTTCAAAGCTTGTGAGATTTGGCCTAATTGAACTTCCAAATTGTGAATCGAAGTGTTGTGAGAGGCTAATTGAGCATCGGAGTCGGCATTCTTCTCCATCATTTGTTTGAACATGTTTTCTATTCGGCCCATCTCATTGTTGGAAGAACTCGGCCCTTGGGAAGGGTAGGGAGGTGGAGTTCTCGGTTTTTGAAACATCGAAGGCCTTTGAAAACCCGACCCCCAATTGTTGTTGTTGTTGTTCCACCCTCCTTGGTTTTACCTCCCCAATAGCCTTGAAATTGCCACTCCAATTGCCTTGGTTATTTTGACCATTCTGATTTTCTTGATTGCTTTGATTGTTCTAATTCCCTAGGTTATTTTGATTGTTCCAACCACCTTGATTGTTTTGATTGTTCCAATTGCCTTGATTGCTTGAATTCCAATTTCCTTGATTTCCTTGTGGTCACCATTGTTGTTTATTTGGGCCTTGATTGTTGTTTCTTTGCCCTTGGAAGTTGTTCACACATTGTACTTCCTCCTCTTGCTCATTGTATTGTCCATCTTGATCAAATCCATTATCATCTTGCTCATAATTTTCAACCCGATTTTGCACCTGTTGACCTTTTTGCCTTCTCTTGTTTACCGTTATACTCACTCCTTCCATTGCATTTACTTGATTGGGACCTTGTACTTGTTGAAGTTGCGCTTTAGCTAGTTGATTCATTGTGGTGGTAAATTCGGCAATTACTTGCCCATGACCGTGTAATTCCTTGTGCAAGTGAATCGCATTTGGATCGCCTTGCATAACATTAGCTCTACTTTGCCATGCCGATGAAGCATACTCCATTTCAACAAGAATCTCACAAGCTTCCGCATATGGCGTTGTCATGAAATTCCTACCGACTAGTTGGTTGACCATGCATTGATTGGTAGTGTTGATCCCCCTATAGAAAGTTCGCTAGATCATAGCCTCTGTCATGTCATTGTTCGGACATTTTTTCACCATAGTAGGGTACCTTTCTCATATTTCATGCAAAGGCTCATTAGGTTCTTGTTTAAAAGCTAGAATCTCATCCCTAACTGTTGTCATATGCCGGGGTGAAAAGAACTTGGAATGAATTTCTCGGCCAATTCACTCTATGTATGGATAGAATGATTTGGCAACATTTCTAACCAATCCAATGTCTTCCCCCATAGAGAGAAAGGGAATAGCCTCAATAGCAAAGCATCCTCGGAGACGTTGGTTTTTTTTGCTCCCCCAGCAAGTGTCAACAAACCCTTTCAAGTGCTTGTATGCATTTTGATTCGAGCCACAGTGAAGAATCCCCGTTGTTCTAACAGTGTAAGCATGGCATTTGTGATTTGAAAATTTTCTGCCCTAATGCGGGACAGGACTATGGCACTTGCATATCCTTTATTCGGTAACACCCAGTGTGCCACCGCTTTTAGAGAAGGTAGGGGAGGAACGAGAATTTATCTTGAGGCGGTCAGCCTCGTTTATTTCCTTGAGGTTCAAGAGGAACCTCATCAACTTGGTCATCATCCCCGTCATCCCTTAATGGCACGTCTCCAAGAGAATCATTTTTATTGAGAGCCATTGTATCACCTACAATTGTTTCACGAAAACAAATTAGTAACCGGAAGGAAAAGAAGACAAATCACACACAAAACCTAATATAGCTAAATCCGTTTTTAGCTCCCCGACAATAGCACCAAAAATTGATGTCGCCAAAACTCACACCACTAATTGGGATTGTAAGGCGGTCGATGCAATTATAAATACCCAACGCAAGTCGGGGTCGATTTCACAAAGAGCTTTATGTGAGATTAGGTATATACCTAGTCTAGTGTATGATGTGCCCAAGATTGCACTTCCACATATTTGGTTGTTTCTTTCTACTTCTAATGATTATGCTAATGCTTGGAATTGAAAGGCTAAGAGATAATATTTTTCGTGTTGTTGTTATTCAGATTGATAAAAGATCTAGGGTCGTGAATTCCACCTAGGTGGTTACCTAACAGATTGTAAACTCTAGGGCAAGTTTGATTGATCGGGGTTGTAATATAGCATTCATACACATTTACCCACTCTATACCTCTCGATAGTTAGAGTGATTTTGCTCAATTTGGCTCTCTCAAGTCCAAATGGATATTGCACAAAACAAGTGATGAATGCTCAAGTCTGGTCTTACTATCTCTAGATTCAACCCTTTAATTGGGTTATCAATTTCTTGAGTTCACCCCAATTCCTTGTTAGCCAAGTTTTCCTAGACTTAGTCTCTCTTTCTCCAGTAAAGACTAAGTCAAATAGGCATGAATCAATATTTGCAACCATTAATTCTTAATTTCAAGCAAGAACTAGGTTAAATATACTAACCTAATCACAAACAAGCCCTAAATCAAACACCCATTAAGTACCCACACTAGGGTTGGGTCACAACCTTAGCTAGAAATTTAGCTACGCATGGTAAATGACAAAATTAAAGAAGAAACTAAGATAAAATCCATAATAGATGATTAAGGTAATAAAATCTAATGTTAAAATGGTAAACAAATACAATTTTACCCAATACAGTAAATAAAAACAAATATCTATTCTCAGGTGCACAAAACGTAACCTAAAAATGACAAAAAATCTATTTATACTCAGCTAAAATTATCAGACAAAATTGCCCCTACGGAGGTTGTGCGGTTGCACAATTCTGTGTGCGATCCGCATTTTGAAACTTGACTTGACAGGTTGGACCTCTACGGCCAGATAATTCTCGGTTGCGGCCGCACTTCTTCAACTTCTGCGGACCGCACATTTATGAGTACGGTTGCAGTCTTGCTTCTGCAGGCGCAAAATAATAGTGCGCTTCGCACTTCATGACCTTGGACTTTGGCAAAGGATGACTTATGCGGATCGCACATTTTTTAGTACGTTCGCGCTCTTGATTATACGGCTGCACAATAATGGTGCGGTCCGCATGAAGAATTTCTTCATGACCTAAAATCCCATCTATCTGAGCTTTATCTTCTGCAGCCGCACAAGAATTGTGCGGTCCGCACTTTGCAAAGAGAGTCTGTCAGAGGTTCTCTTCATGTTCTGCGGCCCCACTCAGTATTTTGTGGTCCGCATTGTGCCCTTTTGTCCTTGTTATGGTCCTTGTCCAAAATTACTCCTTCTTGAGTTGATTTTCAGCTGTTTAGCTCATTCTAACACTCCTGCAAGCAAGCACATTTCATTAGTTTTCGGGAATACTTTTAAGCAATTTGGTCTAAAACGAAAGTAAAAGAGCACAAATAAGTAGTCAAAATCCTTACTTATCAAGTCTCCTTACTAGTACAGGGTACACTATTCCCTCATCGCATTTTCCCAACATAAGGTACACCAATCCTTAGTTGAGGCACTACCTAGACAATCAGGGTATACCATTCCCAAAGAATCATATTTTTTAAGGTACACCAGTCTAGACCTTTTATTGCTCTTAATAATGAAGTAATATAGAGTTTTGTTACAAATAACTCACAAAATTTTACTTGTGAAAATCGGGGCAGAAAATTTTTGTTCGTTTGTTTGTTTTGGTATCTGAGCAGGTTTTACCTCAAGGCACGGGGTTCGAGATGACCAAAAGAAGAATTCTCAATCAAGAATAAAGAAAAGAAAAGAAAAAGAAGTGAATCAAAAATGCAGAAGTGGATGAAAAAATGTGGATTGCTCAAGACATGACTGAAGTCATGAACATTACATTTCCTGTTTTGATTAGAAGAAGTCGTAGAAGAATGAACTAGCACCTGAAGCTAGCAAGCATCAAGGTTCAGATCAGAGTCTGCATGAAGAATTAGTCAAGACTCAAGATCAAGTTTTAGATGACTTATAGATTTGAATCTTGTAACTCATTGCTTATAGGCTTATTTCGATTCTTTTGATTTTGATGTAATAACAAGACTACAAACCGGAGCCTTGACGGAACCTCACTTGACTCCTCAACTCATCATTCTCCTTGAACTACGCACGACCTGATTCCCTTATAACCCGGGATATGTAGGCTGTCCAAAATCAGGACTTGGTTGCACCATATCTTTTAGTTCTATTCCTTTTGAATAACGGTTTGGTCAAAAATTAGTCACATGGCTCATCTTGTCTTTACCTAAAAACTATTCATTTTTCCAAGCAAAGAGGAGCATGTTGTGAGCACCTAATTTTTTATTATACTTGAATTTTTTCTCATTCATCTCCCCAATACCTCACTTTCTACTTTCTCACTCACACTCTGACCTCCCCCCACCCCACTTCCCACTTTCCCCACTCATGTCCACCACTCACATCCCCACTATCCTCCTCCATCATCTGCACACACAGCTCACACCCTCGTCTCCCTCCAACTGATTTCTTCTCTCATCTCTTTTATAAAAACACACAAAACACACAAGAAAAAAGGGGGAACACATAAAGAAAATTGGGGGCAGAAAGGCACTACAGAGAGCAGCATTGGCCACTCTCTCGTCAGCTTCACTACCTCAAGCTCCATCTCCAAAAACCTTAAAGCCCAGCTTCATCTCCACCCCAAAATACCCCATAAAAACCCTCAAAATCCACATGAAAATCGCAGTAAAAACAGCTGCAGAAATAGACAAAAAGGCAATAAAAATCAGGTAATAATAAGCAATAAACCCACCTGCAAAGAGCAGCAAAATCCAGCTGTGAAATAGCCCCAAAACGACCTCCAAAGCCACCCATTTCAGCTCCAAAAATGAGCTGAAAACTGTCCCTAAAATGACTCCAAAACACTGCTGAAATACCAGCGAAACATCCACCAACAAAACCCTCTATAGTTGCTACAAAAATCAGCCATGAAAAAGCCATGTAAACCTGTACAAAAACAACTCAAAAACCAGTTAAGAATGACTCCAAAAGCAGCTAAAAATAGCACCAAACGCTGCGGGAAATCATCACCTTTAACCATAAAAAATCAGTCATAGAATAGCCCCACTTCACCACCCTTTAACACGAAATTCCAGCCAAAATAACTTCATAGAAACAGGTAGAATATCATTCCCGAAACCATCGATAGAGTGAGGTGATATTCGAGTTTGCCGGTTCGAGGTTCTAATTGATAGCTCGTTGAAAGATTTCTGCTTTTGGAGCTTTGGTTTCATTATCATTGTATACATCAGAGAAAAAATTTCAGGAATAAAGGTCTATCTTCTTGTTTCCCTTTGATTTTTATTATTTTCTTCTCAAATTTGTGTGTGTTGGTTTCCTTTACTTGAGTGCTTTGTTTGTTTCTTTACTAATTTTCTTGTAGACATCTTTCGTATTATATTTTTCTATTTTATTTGTTATTAGTTTGATAAAATTAACTAGATATGTTTTGTTGTATTGATTTATTTCAGTTAATTTCATTACTGAATCTTTAAAGCCGATGGATAAGAATTTAAGGCAGAATATGTGTTGTTAGTTAGTTAAAGCAATCCAAGACAGAATAAATAATGGGCTATGTTTGCTAATTGAGATTAAAAAGAATAGAATTTGCCCCAAATTAAAAGAAGAATGAGTGGCCCCTTAATCATTATATAATTCGGATTAGGCATTAAAAATTAATGTAGTCACCATATCTTATAGCAGTAATTTATAAAGTTATTGGGTCTAATCAATTGTACGTTAATAATATTAGGCAAAATTTTGAGTTGCAATCTTGATCTAAGCGACTCTAAAATTCTTAGTGCCACTAGAGGGCAACACTTCTTCCACAATCTAATTCCATAACTTATGCCTTGCAATAATCTCAAAACTAATTTGGCAAACAATTCTTAATAATCGCTAGTATGTTTTAGGCGCGTATTAATAAGTAAATTATCATAATTATGTACATGTTCGCGTGACATAGTTATGATCCCACAAATAAATCAAAGTACATGTTCCCGCGACTTTGGCCATATAATCTTAACAAATAATAAAATGTTATTTGTGTACACGTATGCGTGACATGATTTTGGCACAATAAACAATGCGGATTCACACACGTAATTTGTTGTAACGACCCCACCAGTCGTTATGAGCTTTTGCACTTCGCTTGCCAAATCTCGGACATGACTAGCCCCGTGTGATGTATCATGACTTATGTAAACTGTCGGTTTTGGTTTTCAAGGTAATCAGAATGGATTGGGAAGAACAGTTCTCAGTTTGAAGCTTAAAATTTGAAAGTTTTGACCAAGTTTTGACTTTTTAGTATTCGATCTCGGATTTGGATATTTATGATTTGATTAGCTCTGTTAGGTGATTTGGACTTGGGAGCGCATCCGGAATGTATTTTGGAGGTTTGTGGTAAATTTAGGCTTGAATTGGTGAAATTAGAATTTTGGTATTTTTCCGGTTGGTAGCGGAGATTTTTATATAGGGTTCGGAATGGAATTTTGGAAATTGAAATAGGTCTGTTGTGTCATTTGTGATGTATATGCAAAATTTCAGGTCATTCGGGCAAGGTTTGATAGACTTTTTGATCGAAATCGGAATTTGGGAAGTTTTTGGAGTTTCTTAAGCTTGAATCCGTTGTTGATTTTATGTTTTGATGTTGTTTTGAGGGTTGGAAGAAGTTTTAATGATGATATGGGATATGTTGGCATGTTAGGTTGACATCCCGAGGGCCTTAGGTGTGTTTCGAGTGGTTAACGGATCAATTTTTGGACTTTGGACTTGGCAGATTTTCTGGTATTGTTGCAGAAAATTCTTGTTCATCGCATTCGCGGTTCGGTCCTGCGTTCATGAAGAGTAAATGTGGAATCTGAGGAATTTGTTCTATGCATTCGCAAGGAAGAGAACGCAAACGCGGAGGTTGAGTAAAGTGTTCTATGCGTTCACACTCAATTGGCCGTGTTCACGAAGGGTAGTGGCAGCTGGGACCCCAGGTCCCTTTAGTCTATGCGTTCGCATGTCAAAGGAGTGAGTTGGTAAAGCTTCGCGTTCGCGAAGCTGTGGACGCGTTTGTGAAGGGCATTTTTTGAAGCAGGCGAGATTAGCCTATGCGAACGCGAGAGGACCGCCGCATTCGCGTAGAAGAAATAACTGGGCAGTCAGATTATATTTAAAATTGTGGGTTTAAATCCAATATCACAAAAATCATTAGAGAGCTCGGGAGAATGTGAAATTTGAGGAGATTTTCAGTGGAGTAATTGGGGTAAGTATTCTCCACTCATATTTGGTTTAATTCCATGATTTAGTCTTGAATTTTATCTTTTAATTTTAGAAATTAGAGTGGAAATTGGGGAAAAATGGAAGAAAAGTTTGAGAATTCTTTTGGGAATTTGAATGGGCAATTAAGGTCGGATTTTGATGAATTTATTATGGGTAGACTCGTGAGAGAATAAGGATTCTAATTTTGTGGTTTTTATCGAATTCCGAGACGTGGGCCAGGGGGTCGGGTTGGCCAATTTCGGGATTTTTGGTGTAAATTGGTTATTTTCAAGTGGGCTTTGTTCCCTTAGTATATTTTGATGGTATGAATATATTTTTGGTTAGATTTGGAGCATTCGGAGGTCGAGTTGAGAGGCAAAGGCATCGCGGGCCAGAGTTTGGACCGGATTGAGGTAAGTAATGATTGTAAATATTGTCCTAAGGGTATGAAACCCCGGATTTCACATCGTTGTGTTACTTTGAGGTGACACACATGCTAGATGATGAGTATGGGGCTGTGAACTGTTGGGAATTGTGACTTGGTCCGTCCGTTACGGCTGTTAAGTCGCGTATTTGATTAAAACTTATTTGATGTCATTGTGTTTTTTTTGGAAATCATTACCATATTTTGGGCTGAATGTCATATATGGGCCTTGTGCCAACTGTTTTGGACCCTTATGGGCTTTTTGCTGCTATTCCTCACTGTTTTGACTTCATAATTGTACTCAGTCGTGTTGTATTCTACTGTTTTTATAATTCAGCCATATTTACTCCGTTTTGATGTTTTAAATGATATTTTGGGCTGAGCATCATGTTTTACTGTTGCCCGAGTGGCCTGAGAGATTTCTGACTGAGTGAGGCCGAGGGCCTATGCTGTGAAGATAATATGAGATCGGTTTGCGCACCGCAACAGGTTATTACTGATTCATGATTATAAGGTTGAGGGCCTAATTTGTTACGCTACGAGGTGTCTTGTTATGAGGCCAAGGGCCTGTTTGATTATGCCACGAGATGGCTTGTTATAGCGCTTGGGCTGTAGGAGCCCTTTCGGAGTCTGCACACCTCAGTGAGCACAGGTACCCAATGTGAGTAATGTAATGTAGCCCGAGTGGTTGTTGTTGTTTCATGTTGTTTCCCGAGGGGCTGTCCTTGATCCATGTTTTACCCGAGGGGCGGTTCTTGATTCATGTTATGCCCGAGGGGCTGATTGCGAGTGATTGTGAGGTAGCCCGAGGGCCTGGTTCTATTAATATTATGACCGAGGAGCGGTTTATGGTACATGTTTTGCCTGAGAGGCTGTTTATGTTTCTATCATTTTTACTCATTGTTTTATCACTCGTTTGAAACTATTAAAAGTTGTTTTAAAAGGTTTTACTGAAACTGAGCTTGATTTATGAAGTAAATGATTTCTGTACTGTTTTGAAAATGTATTGAATTTGATGTAGCGTTATGACGTGGTTTACATATTTTCTTACTACTCAGCTTTCATTTACTTTTATTACTTACTGAGTTAGCGTACTCACATTACTCCATGCACATTGTATGCAGATTCAGGTATTTCTGAACCCGGTAGCGGGTGTTGATTGTTCAGTGGCAAAGTCATCGGAGTTCGCAGCCCTGCTCTTCTCTCTCTTATCTTCCTTAGATTGTTTTGAGTATGTTTTTCAGATTCTTCGTTGTATTCTGACCTTCGTAGATGCTCGTGACTTGTGACACCCAGATGTCGGGCATGTGTATTTATTCCGCATTGTTCATTTAGACTTACATTATGAGATATTTGATTAATTAAATGACTTTTATTGAATAATGGTTAATTCGGGAATTGTGTTGGCTAACCTAGTTTCATACCATCACGACCGGGTCAGTTTTAGGGTCGTGACATTCGTTTCAACGGTAATTTCATATTTTACTAATAAAAGCGAACATAGATAAAATGGAAACCAATAAAGCACAGTTTATCCAAAATTAATTCAAGCGACCATGCTAGAACCACGAGATTCGGGGGATGCCTTAGACCTTCTCCCCGGTCAACAGAATTCCTTACCCGAATATTATTTTTGCGGACCATTAAAAATAAAGTCAAACCTTTCTTTGAGTAGGAATTCAAATAAAAGGTGACTTGGAACACCCAAAAAATTAATTTCAAGTGGCGACTCTATAAATAAAATAATTCCTACTTAAATTTGTCACTTCAAATGGAAAAACTCTTTTAACTCACAACAATCCATAACATCTACATATCTTTTGGGAGGTAAAAAAAGGGTGTGACAACTAATTTATCAAACGAAAAACGATTATCAACTAAAATTTTCACTTATTAACTAAAATTTTCGTGAGTTCTAAGATCCAATAACACCGATAACACATAGGTCCAAGGAAACTGATATCGGAGAAACTTTCATATGGTAAATATAACTGTAACTTATCAATAAAAATTTTGTGAGGAAGTCCTAATATCAAATTAATATACTAATTTATTTGTCATAAAATATTAATTTAATATCAGTCCATTTTAAATTTCATATTGTTATTTATTAGTTTTCTTGTCACTGTTAGAAGGCCAACTTCTTTATTCCCAGATCTCACAATTGATAAAAAGATTTAATATTTTAATTTGTATGATTTGACAAATCTTTGAAGAATTGTGATAAAAATATTTTGTGTTATTTATTTGTTTTCAGTATTACATCACAAATATAACAATAATCTTCATTAAGTATTTCTTCTGATGCCATTTTTTTTAAACTAAACAAACTTTTATTAACGAGTGGAAAGTGTTGCTACGTTTGGGAAAGGGGGCATTCACCTGACCCTTTCGTATCCTTTGTGAGCTTGGTGCACAAGCTCTGTTGCTAGTTACTAAAAAGTGCAAGAAAAAAAATAGATGCAACCTCCTACATAGACTACTATCTAGCAGCACACCTTAAGGTGGATCAAAATATATATTTGAAGCTTTCATTCGTCTAATTCGGAAGGACGCCATTTCCCATCTATTCAGCTGGTGCAACCCTCCGATTTGTCTCGGCAATCCAGTGAAGTCCGAAAATACAATGGCCTACTTGTGGAGATGGCTTATTGATGCTAGTT